TTAAGATCAATATGCAGTCAGAAAGTTTTATAATTACTATTTATTGTAAATTTATCAGAAAAGCTCAATATTTTTTTGCATTTTTATGGTAATAGATAACTTAAATAGAAGTAATAGTAATAATTTCCTAGGAACTTTTGTTGTTTGTTGAAAAGATTCTATAATTGAAATATTGAGAACTTAATTAATTTTAATGATTTACTTTAACTAAAAGAACCAATAAAAAAAAAGTTGTTTATAAGATTAACTCAATTGAGCGTATTATAAAATTTGATTATATTTGTAAAAATCAATTGTTAATTCAGGAGAAAAAACAATCAATTTTTTAGAAATGATTTATATAGGAACATGTTACAAAAAAATTTGTAATATTATAGTCTAATAGTAGCACACACAAACAGAGTAATAAAATTATTAAATTACAAAGTAAAATGATTTAATTTTGTAGTTGTAACCTATCATATCAAACTTCATTCGTTAATAAATATTTTGAAAACATTAGAAATTAATGATTTTAATTGTCTTTATGGAGACGATGTAATAACTAACTGTTTAATTGATAAATTAGAATTTTTTTTTTCAATTTTTGAGGGTAATATCTTCAACTAGATACGAATTGTAGTCATTTGACGTATCGTTGAAAAAAGTAGGTCAAGTTAGAACAGAGAAATTAAATGATAGTCGCAAAAAAATATCTTCTCAGCTTTGCATCGAAGCTAAAACTTAAAATATAGTAAAATAATTGTAATACGAATAAGAAATTTCTTCTTGCAAGGGGCGACTAAAGTGATGGGATCCTCGATCTTTATTGAAGTTATTGAATCTAAATGAGATAAAAATCAAACGAGTTAAAAATTTATACTAACTTAAAAAGAATTAAGAAAAAATGCAAAAAATTCATTGCCATACGCGGGTTGGAACCTCGTACCCCAAGCGTGTAAAATATAAGTTATTCCAACTCGGTAACCGTACGTCGCTACTGTAGGTTGAAAAAATAGGCTATTTAAGCTAGTTTAAATTTCAAAGTTATTTTTCTCGACTTAAAAGAAGCAAACAAATTTTAATAAGTTTAACTTTCTATGCTATATTAATTTTTTATTTATTTAATATTTATGAAAATCTGTACTCCCCTTCAGGTATTTTAAAATAAAATAAAATATAAAACCCAGAATTTTAACACAAAAATTACAAATTTTTTAATACAGTAGTCATTTTTACCATGAAGACAAACCTAGAGGTCAAATTTTTTTTTTCAAATTAAAGAATATTACATTAGCTTTAATTTAAGGTATATATAAAAGTGTCAGTCTTTCCGGAACATTTTCAAAAGTTAATTTTTTGTAAAAATGTTACCATTTTGAAACCCTTCCTGTGGCCTGTTAAAGGGTCAAATATTCACAAAAATATATAAAATGATAGGTAAATATCTAAGGTATCTATAAAAAAATTATATTGATTCGGTCATTTTTAAAAAAGTTATGGCAATTTTAAGTAAAAAAAATTAAAAAAATATCGAAAATAAGCGATTTTTAAATTTGAAATTTTTTGGGGGATTTCCCCCGTTTACGGGGAACGAGGGATTTTTTTTCAATTTTCGAGGGTAATGTCTTAATTACCCTTCTATACCTTCTATACCTTCTATACCTTCTCAGCTTCGCATCGAAGCTAAAACAAATAATTTACGATTTATACTTAATCTAACTTATTGTTTCATTATATTACTAATTATTATTTTATTAAACATTATATTAATATCTATTATAAAAATTGTTGCTAATTATTATTGAGGTATACAGGAAGAGATCAATTATATGTACGTTTTACTACTATATTTTGCCATTTTGACAAGTATTATTTTTATAATATATTAAAACCAAAAGAAAATTTTCTTACATTGAAAAAGAGTCCTCAATTTTCTAAACTGAATAGTTGGCTACCGTGATGATGAGGGGTCTTCAATGTCAGAAAAGACTTTCTAATCAACCATACTAAAAATTTAAAATCAGGAACAGTCTAATTAAAATTATTTTTTTTTTTATGTATTTTTTATTCTGAATTATTATTATTATAATAAATTGTTAGAATTATGATTGATATATAAGAATTATATAATTTGTTCAAAACAAAATGTCAAATTCATTTTATAATGGATTATTAATCAATTAGAAATAATAATTTATTATCTACTACTAGTTCCTCAATCTATGACAATAACTCACAGCTATTTTAAACTGATATTGGATATAATTAACAGAAAAAAAAACATTTGAACTAAAAATTTCAATCTTTTCAGGAAGTTCTAGAAAATGTCCTCTATATTAAATTTTCCGGAAATTTTACTATATTAAGTGTTAGGCTAAATATAGAAATAGTTTTCATATAAATTTCAAATTTTAAATAGTAGAAGTTAGAAAAAATTTTAGAAGTTCAACATTTCATCTTATCTCTCATTACCCAACATCGATGTTAAAAAATCATTATCATATATTTTTCTCATCTGAGTAGATGGTTTCTAGTCTTATAATTCAAGGATTTACTAAAGACATACAATACTTGTATCGCAGACCATAGGAAAATTCATATTATATGTGCTTGTATTGTATACCTATAAATATAATTAATTTTTCGTTAATAAGTGTGCAATAAATGGAAACATGATATAAATTGTTTAATCTTCGGTTTTAATTTTTTTTATATATATTTTTTTCCATGGGTTTGTAAACATTTTTTTTTAGTATTGAACTGTTAAAAATCTATGTTTAATTTACTAGTTCTTTATTTTTATTGAAGTAACTTATGTGTCTCAATTGAATAACATTAAGTTAGTATTATAAATTATATATTTAAAAGTCATTATGAGCTTAAATAAATCATCTAAAATCCAAGCAGATGGTAAATATAAATTCAAATATAACTCAATATTTTATTTATAAATAATATTAAAACAAGCAATTAAATTTTAAATTTTCAGATGGTACTGGTTCGAAAGTTAAAAAAAAATCTATAAAAAGTAAAATTCTTTATCTAATAACTAAGTTTTAATTAGTTTTAGTTTTGTAAAATTTAATAAGTTAACGCTGCATTTTTTATAAAAATAATTGATTTTGACATAATTTGTAGGCATTTCCTAAGAATTTAATGATGTAAAATATGTATTTAATATGGAATATATTGCAAGATTTATCACTTACTCTTTTCGACAATGTTATATCTTAAATAATGGCGTTTTTAAGTTACGCTTGTTTTATCAAAATATATTAAAATGGCAGTGTATTCTAAAATAAAACGTTATAATTTTTACCTAGCTCATTCATAGTTAAGACACTCAATTTAAGGGATTAAAATACTTATGAAATCAAATAAAAAAATCAGAACAAATTAACTCGTATTAAATATATATTGATAATTAGATGAAAAAAAATTAAAAATTTGTTTTTATTATAGGTAAAAATACAAATGCAGCTCAAGAAAAATTAAGTAAATTTGTTTTTATTAATTATTTAATTCTTAGAATAAATCCTTTTTTTTTTAAATTACTAAAATATCTTTATAAGTGACTCAGTCAAATACAAGGTATTTAACCTTGATTAATCTGGGTAACACACAAAAAAAATTACATTACTTAATACATAAACCAAAAACGCTCCTACGATCTGATATATCTATAGAATAAAAAATTATCTTATATAAATAACATTCCAATGTTATTTTTACTATTATCCTATTATTACAGATATTTTCATAAAAACTTCTCTAATTATTTAAAGAATTTCATTTCAAATTTGTACTATATTAAATAACAATCGTAGTCATTAACTAAAACAAATTAGGTTATATTAAATTAAACCCCAATCCAAAAAACCCAGCACAGGGGAGTCACCGTACAATGGTGACGTGGCAAATTTGGGTCAAGTATAATAATATCTGACAGTGATTAAAATCACTATCTTAAAAAACGCTTCAATGCAAATCTTTACATAGTGTTTAATTTTAAAAAAATGGTGGATTATTCCAAAAATTACATGATCTGCTATTTCCTTATTAATATCCTGATTAAGTATGTCAAATGAAAAAGGGATATATATATTATTTCACATAAAAAAATTGTATTGATCCATACACTTTTCAATAAGTTATAGCAATTTTTTTGAAGATTTCCCCCTTTTACGGGGAACTAGGGAAATATTTTTAATTTTTGAGGGTTATATATTCGACTAAATACGATTTATGATCTTTTGACATATTGTTGAAAAAAATCGGTTCGGTGAGAGTTGAAAAAAAGTAGTAATAGACACAAAAAAAAAACACATCATAGTAAACCAATACCTTCTCAGCTTCGCATCAAAGCTAAAAGTATTAGTGAATATTTACTAATATTTATTATAACTATTTAGTTCTAATATTAATTTATATTTTGGAAGTAGTGTTAATGGCCAGTGGTTCTTCAAGTTGTTTATTTATTGTATAATTATGTATACTAGAATGACACAAACATTTTTTTGTTGAGCAATCCTAGAATTAATAATAATAGTAAAAAAATGATTATCTAAAAATTTTAGATTATTTGTTAAAATTTAACAGGTTGCTTAACACAATTATAAGTATATTGATTAAAATTTTGAAATTTTTCCAAAAGTTTTCATAATTTCTAATATACTAAAAATGTACTATATATTTTGAATCTGAGTTGGATTGTTTTTAAATTAGGAAATTAGGAAATTGAGAAGTTTTTCTTTTGTTTGATGAATTAACACAACATTAAATTTAAGTTTGTGTGATGAGTTTATGTACATTATTATATAAATAGTGGCAATATTTAATAGAAATAAAAAAATGAATTAAATTAAGTTTGATAGAGATAAATTACTAAGGAGATTCTGTTTTGGTAATACTATTGAAAAATGAAAAGTATTCATTGTAGATAAAAAAATGTATTCATCAATAAATGAAAAGCTTTAAAATGTTTGTGATTAATTTATTCAAAGCTACATTTGTAAATAATTTGTTACTCTAAAATATCAATATTTATGCGAAATTAAATTACTAGTTATCATAAAAAAAAAAATTTGAATTTTTAAAAATTAATTTTACCAAATTTTAATTTGTTTTTCAGCTCAACCACCCATTCAAATTACTCAAAAATTGGAAGTTATGAAAAATCAATTAACCATACCTAAGAGAAGAAATACTAAACTAGCTGGTACTATAGGACGAAAAACTGAACTTGACATTAATTATCTGCCACTTAATTTAGATAAATTATTTAAGAAAACTGTTTATCATTTTGATGTTCAATTTGTTCCTGATTTACCAAAAAATTTGTTAAGGTGCAAAATTTTTGTATACATTTTTTATGACTAATATTTATAGTCAGAATTACTAGGCTTCTCTATAATTTAATCTATAAATTATAAGTTATAAACTTATGTGGTGACTCATGTCATTCAAATGATGAATCAACTGTATTAACAATAAACTTATTGTTTACATATGAAATATTCATTTAATTTTTTAGAGCTGCTTTAGAAGAATTTAATCATAAAAATTATCCAAAAGATTTCATTGCCTTTGATGGACGCAAAAATATGTATGCCATAAAAAAATTATCAGCTGTAAGTAATATTTACTAATTTTACTTATTCTTATAAATAATACTTAAAAAACAATATGAATAATTGTTTATGGATCAAAATTTATATTTTTGGGGATGGGGTTTTATACAGGTAGCTGGTAAAGTAATAATTTTTAACCCTGAAAAAAACAGAACTGTTGAATTTAATATTCAAACATCACATGTTAATACCATTAATATGAGCAAAATTGAAGAATATTTGAAAAATGGATCATCAAATTCTCCCCCTCAAGAAGCTTTGCAAGCATTAGACATTGTGATGAAAAATAGACCATTTTCATTGAGGTAGAAATTATCTTGATGTAGAATTTAAGTGTACTTATTATTTGTATGTTAGATTTGTTAATGCAGGAAGGTCATTCTTTCCAATACCACGACAATTCCCTACTGATTTAGGAGAAGGAAGTGAACTTTGGAAAGGATTTTTTCAAAGTCCTGTCATTGGTTGGAAACCATTCTTAAATATAGATGGTACTTAAATTTTTAATATTATTAATAAATATTTAATTTAAGAAGAAATAGATAAGAATGTTAAAAAATAATGATGAGAATTATGCCACTAATTTTTTTTTAGCTAATTATTGAATTGGTTTAATAAAAATGTAATAATTTAAATTTTGAAAAATAGTATTCTTTTATTTAGCTTTGAATTAATCTAATTCTTTGCCCAACTGTCCCTTTTGTTGCCTCAATTAATATTGAAATAAGAAATATAAAATAAACATATTTTTTAACACTTAGATTCTTTATCTATTTTTTTTTTTACTTAATAAAAATTACTTAAGAAGATGTTAAACGTTTACAGTTTAACTTAAATAGAATAAAATATGAGCTAAAAAATAAATATTAATTTAATTGTAATAATTTTTTAGTTGCTCATAAAGGATTTCCAAAACACCAAAGTATTATTGAGTATATAAAGAATTGTTTAAAATGTGATCTCAAAGCCGATATGGATAGTAAAAATCTCAATATTTTATTATGTTATCTTAAAGGGCTGAAAGTTGATTTTCAAATTCCAAACCAGCCTAATTCAAAACGATCCTTTAAAGTTATCAAGTTATTTGAATCTGCAGCTAAATTTTTGTAAGCAATTTTTTTGTTTATAGACTTAAAAATACATGTAGATTTTATTATTGTTCAAAAATGTGATGTTGAATGTAAAAAGCTACCATTTGTAGTTATTGTGTAATTAGTATCTTAAAAATATTGAAAGCGATATAAAATCTTTCTTCCAAAATTCTATTACACTTCACAAAAATAAAAAATATTACTTGTATTTGTTTTTATATTTTAAATATTTTTAGTAAAGAGATAAATTAAATTAGATGTCCTAAATTTTTTGTTTAGAAAATTTAAACACAATTATTGTGCTCATTAAGTAAATTATATAAATAAATTAATTAATCAAGATTTTATGTAAATGAATAGTTAAGTTAAATTACTTAAATATCAAGAAGCATAATTATCATGTAATTTATTATTTAAGTAAGATAATTATGAATTTGTTCAAAATGTTATGTTATTATTTATTTATTTAATTCTAAGATAAAATAAAATCTGAACTTAAAAGTTTTCACAGTAGTACTGTAAATGTTTGCTATGTATCAAAGGTAAGATAAAATAGCAAAAATTATATAAAATAAAATGGTTTAATTAGCACTAACCAAGTTTGAACTAAATGTAATAACTTTAGTGGTCAGCTGCAGTACAGTAGATAAACTTTGAACCTTACATTAAAAGCGATATTACTGTAATCAGGGTGGACTTGCGATGTAATAAGGCTGTTGATACGGATACTTCGTATGCTAAGCTTATTATTTAGTAATTTGTCAAGGTTATAAATGATAGAATTTGAAAGATAGAAAGATAATTAATTCTAAATTATATAATAATTCATTATATCATATCTTTATAACATCTATTAAATTATTTTCCACAGTTTTGAAATACAAGACCAAAATGGAAATAAACAAAAAATTAATGTGGTCCAATATTTTAAAACTATGCGTAATTATACAATTTTATACCCAAATTTACCATGTTTACATGTTGGAAATGTAGCTAAACAAAATGCAGTACCAATTGAAGTATGTTAATTATATTTTTTAATGAACTTATTAAATCAAATATAAATTTAAGACTTAAAACTAATGTGGCAATTGCCAAAAGGTTGGCTTTAAGTTATTATTTATTTTTGTAATCTCAAAAGCTCTGACAGATACACTACCTCGCTAATATTGTTTTGTTCTACTATTGGGACTACAAATTAGTTTGGTCCATTTCAAAAAGATGGCACTAAAAATTTTAAATTCTTTAATTCAACAGCTGCTCGATGTAGTTTCAGACAGTTTAAACATTTGTCGAAAACATACTATGTATATATATTTTAGATAAATTGAAAAAAAAAATTGTTATGGTATTAAAAATATCAGATTTTGTAATTAATGGACAGCATTTACGGGAAGTATTCATTTTTTCAAGCTTATCGGATGCTGATGCTCAGCCTCATGTTGCGAAAGTTATCAAAAAATATTTGAAAACAGTCAAATAGGATGTTTTACTGCACCCGCCTTATTCTCCTGACATTGCTCCTTCCGACTATTAATTTTTTCGCAAATGCAGAACGATTTGACAGGTCACCGAGTCACTTCTTTCGAAGAAATTAAAAATTGGATCGCCTCAAAGAATGAGAAGTTTTAATGCGATGGGATTCGAAAATTGCCCTAAAGGTGTGCAAAAGTCTTCAGTAGCAACGGACAATACTTTGAATAGTCTATTCATTCACTGTGTATTTGAATAAATTATTTTTTTTAATTAAAAAAACTGACCAAATTAATTTGTACTCCCAATAGTAAACTTTATATATCATTATATATGGCTTTGACATAATTTAGGATTTTCCTTAACTACACATAATATTATCAGTTAATACAAAAAATGTAATATTAATATTTCACTAAAACTTGCTGAACATTTAATGGCTTTACATGTGTCGTTTATAAAACCAACATTGTTCTGAAATTACAAGAGAATTTACATTTGGCATTATACTTATAGTATCTGGTTTTAGTCTTTTTAAATTTCCCAATCATCATGAAATAGATAAGATAAATCAAATTTAACTTGAGACTAAAAATTAATACTTAAAATATTGCTTTTTATAAAAGGATGAATGCTTTACTAGCAAAAAATAATTTTAGTTTTTATATTCTTCATTTAATATTTTGTTGTTAACAAATTTTAGGGTATTTTATCAGTAAAATATTTTTTATATTAGTGTCCATATTTTTATAATGTATTAATGTAGTTATAAATCATATTTTAGTTATGTACTATCCAGAAAGGACAAATATCTTCAAAGAAACTTACTGAAAATCAAACAGCAAATTTGGTGAAAATTGCTGCTCGGCCACCTTCAGAGCGTCGTTGTAGTATTGAGAACTCTATTAAAGAAATTAATTATAATCATGATTTAGTGTTAAAAGAGTTTGGAATTGAAGTCCAACAATGTTTTGCTTCTATTCCAGCTCGTGTATTAGATCAACCATCTTTGATTTATTGTGCTCAAAAGGTACAATAATGTAAAGTTAATTAAAATAAGAAAATATTTTATCAAAAAAGTTTTTATCATTAAGTTATAGACTTCATATTTCTGATTGTATATTTTAATATTCATGTTGCAAATTAATTCTTAGTAAAAATTAATTACACAATTTTTTGTATTTCTAGGAAGTAAAACCGCGACTTGGTGTATGGAAAGCAGATAAATTTTTACAAGCTATTAAGTTAAGCAAATGGGTTGTATTAAATTTAGACCCACGTATCAACCTGTCAATGATTAAGTAATATATTTTATTAGGTCATCAACAAATTATGAGGGTTTTATTGTAATAAGTGTATAACTTATTTTTAACTTTAGAAATTTTGAAAAGGACCTTATAAAAGAAGGCCGAGATTTGAACGTAATTATAAGTCCAATGAATCCAGTACAAAATAGTCCTATCCAACGAAATTGGCGAATGAGTGATATCCAGAATGAAGTATTGAATTTTTTCAATAAACAAAAAAATAACATAGAGTTAATTGTAGTAATTATCCCTGATTCTCCACCAGGCGTGTATGGTACAATAAGTGTAATCATCAGTAATTTTTTCTCTACTAAAATGTTTTAATTTTGGCTAGCTATTGTAAAACAATCTTCTGAACTTCAAGTTGGGATACTTACTCAATGTGTCAAGTCTAAGACAATTAATAAAATGAATCCATCTACAGCAGGAAATATTTTACAAAAAATCAATTCTAAGTTAAATGGTACCAATCATACACTAGCACTTCGAAACTAGTAAATTTTTTTAAATTTATTGTTCTAATATATTGTTTTTATAAAACAATTTTTTATCCAATTTTGCTTAGTTTATATTATGATTAATTAATTTAACATATAAATTTATTTTTACAGCATTTTAGCTATAATAAAAATATAGTTCAAAAAAACTAAAAAAACACGCTTTTGAAGCACATTGAACTAAAAAGTTAAAAATAATTTTTAGTTCGATGTGCTTTAAAAGCTTGTTTAGTTTTTTTAAACTATATTTATTTTTCACTTTTTAGTTTCATGTTATGATAGTAGTTACTATCAATATCATGGTTGAAACGGGTAACGGGAAATCAGGGTTCGAACATCAGGACAAGAAAAATAAGTTAAGAAGTTTTATCTCTTTAGAGATAAAACTACTTATTTTATAATAAGTATTGTTCGTATTTTTATTTAAACTAAAGCTGGTTATTGAATGTAACAATTTTCATGGAAAAATCTATATTCATATCATATTTAGCGTGAAAAGATTGTGTTTATTTCTGTCCTTTTTATAAAATATAGCTAGCGTTTAATACCGTAGAATAAATACAAAAAAATTTAAATTTTTACAAAATTTAAAAACTTACAAAAAATTATCTACCAAACATTAATGAGAGTTTTTTCATCTAATTATTTTTTAAAATCTATTGTAAAAAATGGCTATTTTTAAATTTTTAAATATAAATGTTCAAACAATTATGTGTCACTAGCAAAATGAGACACTTCCCTCACGATTTCGGAGGTGGAAGCAGCATATTTATGTCTTAATACGTTGTTAATTCTTAGAGAGTTTTAATAAGCTTACATTAAACTTCTTGGAATGTTATGTCCTTTACTACTACAGCCTTTTTTCCTTTGTGATGGGTTAATAATTGATGTATATTGTAATAAAAAGAAAGAGAATGGATTGAGTTAGATTCATTCATATTATCTTATCCTACCTTTTATTCACTTTATCCTATTTCTTAATATTACATAAATATCGTGCATGTCTTACGACTACACTTACCTTGATATCCAGATGGACTCGTTGATAGATGATGAATTGTGATGTTCCTTGTCGACGCCTATATATTAATTTAATAAAATATATAAAATACTCATTAGGGGCAATATACTGAATTTATTTCTACAGTTTGAATTAGTTATTTTAACAAATATGAAAAATGTATAATTAAGGTTGACAAAAGTAACATGGATTTTATTGTATTAACTTTAATATGAAAGAATGAGAGTGAATAATGAGCTGGTGTGCTAATTTTCCTAGTCCTTTTATATTCAACTTGTAGGTAAAGTGACGAAGTAAGCCTAGTTATTCTATAAGTTTCTCGAATATTCTCGAAACTTCTATTTTAATTCATTACAATATATTAAACAGCATGGACGTCAGTATGCTATCTTGCGGTAAGCCATTCTGCTAATTTCTCCATTTGCTCCATTTATTGTTATGCGTGACTAGTGCCAGTCATTTGTGTACTTATATATCTTTTTCAGTGGTGAATTGTAGTGGTTCACCATATCATTAAAAACAACCTCTGTTAATTTTTTGTTTTCGTATTCATCCTCTATGTGCTGGCATAATGTAGTACCTGCCATGTGCAAGATTTACCTGGCCTAAAACCAGTTTGTTCGGTGATAAGTTTTATTAAAATGGTTTATTTTCAGAACGGTTACATTATTATTTATTATTTCAGTCCGGCAAGTATGGATGGGGCAATTGTATTTGGTGCTGATGTCACTCACCCTTCTCCAGATCAAACTACTATGCCGTCAATTGCTGCTGTAAGTGTATGTTAACGTTTACTCATAAATGATTAAATTGGTCTACTTTCAGTTATTTTTTAGCTTCGATGCGAAACTGAGAAGGTATTAATTTTACGATGTGTTTTTTTTTGTGTCCGTTATCATTTTTTCTTAGCTTTAACCAAACCGATTTTTTTCAACGATACGTCAAAAAATCACAAATTGTATCTAGTCGAAGACATTACCCTCATAAATTGACCAAATTTTCCTCGTTTTCCGTAAAAGGGGGAAATCTCCAAAAAATACAAATATAAAAATCGGTAATTTTTGACATTTTTTTTTACTTAAAACTGCCATTACTTTTTAAAAAATGTATGGATCAATACAATTTTTAATAGATATAATAAGTATTAACCTATCATTTGATAAATTTTTTTTTAATCTGACCCTTTACCTGCCCACAGGAGGGATTCAAAATGACAATTTTTTACAAAACTCAACTTAACTTTTGAAAATTTCGACACTTTTTCGACAAGTTTCGAAAATACTGACACTTTTAAATATCTTACATTTAAGTTTATGTAATATAATTAAATATATAAACAAAAAATTTCAAAATTTATTTTTGTTATCATGTTGAAAATGGACATCTAAGTAAAAAAATATATATTGAACCCAACTATGCCACGTCTTCACTGTGCTGCGACCCCACTACTGGGTTTTACTTTCTGAATTAACAAATCACACTTTTATCTATATAGTAATATTTTTTGAAAATTCCTCAAATATAACATAAATTTTACTTAAAATTTTAATGACTAATACTCTATGCTTTGAAAACTAAACAGCAAATAATTTAGAAAAGACTTAAAGTTTTTTATTTTATCTTTATCTTTAATGACATTTCTGACAAGCTATGCTTGTGTTAGAGAAAACTGGAAAATGTATATATTACATAGCACAAATTTTTATTATATAATATTGACTTTTAATTAATAGGTTACTGCAAGTCACGACGTAAAAGCTTTTAAGTACAACATGGAATGGCGTTTACAGTCTCCTAAATTAGAAATTGTGCAAGATCTCGAAAATATTGTTCATAAACAATTATTAAAATTTAAAGAAATGACTAGAACAATACCAAAAAGAATTTTATTTTTTAGAGATGGTGTTAGTGAGGGCCAATTTATGCAAGTTTTAAATGAAGAATTAATAGCTATTAGGAGAGCTTGTTTACGTTTAAATGTAAATTATCAACCAGCAATTACATTTGTTGTTGTACAAAAGCGCCATCATACAAGATTTTTTCCAAAAAAACCATTAGACTTTGATGGAAAATCTGGAAATGTTCCATCGGGTACAATTGTTGATACCCATATTACGCATCCAACAGAACTTGATTTTTATTTATGTAGTCATGCAAGCATTCAAGTATGTTTATATATATTATATACATAGAAATTACACATTTAATGTTTCATTTTGCTTTAAATATTTTAGGGTACATCCAGACCAACTAAATACTATCTTCTGTGGGATGATAATAACCTTACAGAAGATCAATTAGAACAAATAACATTTTATTTGTGTTTTATGTTTGCACGTTGTACGCGGTCAGTATCATATCCAGCACCTACTTATTATGCTCATTTAGCTGCTTATAGAGCTCGTGCATATATTGAAAAGTATAATAGTATGAATTAATGTTATTACAAATAATAATTATGCTTTTTAAATATATTATAGCAAAAAAATTGACTTAAACAGTATAGAAAAAGAACAAATCAATAATACGTTGAATCCTATATTTTGTGCAAATACTCCTATGTTCTTTATTTAAATGTACCAGCTAGAAATTATTTTAACAATATTATGAATATGTTTTAATCAAATTTTTGAAAAATTCTCTGTATTTAAGTATCTATTATTTATTTTAAATTATTGTTGTTCTTTATATATTTTTTTACATTGTTAATAACTTTTTAAATAAAATTATTTTGTTGTCATAACTTACAAACTTTTATAAATAATAATTACTAATTTTGAATAACTCCATATAAGATATTACTTCAGATGTTCCTTTTAGTTACGAAGCTGAGAAGGTATTAATTTTACCATAATGTGTTTATTTTTTGTTTGTGTCTGTCACTACTTTTTATCAGCTCTCACTCGACCGATTTCTTTCGACAATATGTCAAAAGATCACAAATTGTATCTAGTTAAATATATTACCCTTAAAAATTGAAAAATTTTCCCTCGTTCCCCGCAAATGGGGGAAATCTCCAAAAAAATTACAATTTTTAAAAATCGGTAATTTTCAACATTTTTTCACTTTTTTTTTCTAAAAATTTCCATAAATTTTTGAAAAATTAACAAACCAAAATAATTTTTTTTATAAGTACCTTACGTATTTCTTTTTCATTTTATATAAATTTTATGATAATCTGACCCTTTACCTGCCCACAGGGGGGATTTAAATAGCAACATTTTTACAAAACTAAACTTTTTCAACTTAAGTTTTAAATATGTTACGGAAATACAGGGTGCTTTAAACATATGTCAAATTAAAACTTATGTTACGTACTATAAATTTAAAAAAATATATATATATATTTATCCCGACGACTTATCTTCAACGTAAAAATAGCTGTCGTAGTTAAAAAAATGCTATTTTTGTGTTCAAACTTTATTTATTTTAAAATATCTTACAAGGGTTTGCCATAGTAATGAGTGCACCAATAAATATAAAACTAAACGAAACTAATTACATTAAATATAAATTTATACTTTTTTTGAATATTTTGTGACTCAAAGTTAAGAAAAGCTTCTTGAATTTTTGAAAACTTGAAAATTTGAATAAAAAGTAGATCTTTATCAACTTAACTTTTGAAAATGTTCTGGGAAATTTACGTCTTTTAAATATATGATAAAATAAAGCTTATTTTATGTACTATAAGTTCAAAAAAAAAAAATTTGTAGTCGCAACTTACTTTCTATATGCAAATGGTAGTCGAAGTAGTACAAAAAATAGGAATTAATTTCGCTTTTGGAATAATCCACCAATTTCTTAAAATAAAACACTATCTACAGAATAGCATATAAGCGTTTCTTATGATAGTGATTTTAATCATTGCCAATATTATCTTAAGTTGTTCTAACTCTGCCTGGTTCATACTGTGCCACCGCTTGTTTTTTATTTTATTAACAAATACACCATTTTAAGCCGACAACTATAAATATTATTAGACTGTCAAATGATATATATTAAATTTTCAATATTGCCGTGTTCTCTGTGATATTTTATAACAATGTTTATAAAGTATTTTCCCTCATATTATATTCCATAATAATATAATACGTGTTTTATTTGGATGGTCTAGTTGGATTACGACACTATAGGCGTGAATTTCAGTTGGTCGTTTTTTTCTGCACGATACTTTGGTATGATCTGTAATGGTATGAACAGCATATAGTGGTTTTGGAAAAGTTAACTTGGCTTTCATTACTCATAAAATAAACAACAAAAATTATCAGTTAGTACTTGAAGGATATCTCAAGCCCTATATTTGACATTTTCGCTCTGCTTGGTTGACATTGCTACAAGATAACAAGTCAATACATGGTAATAAGTTTACCAAGGTTTTGTTGACTGATTCCAAGTCTTGGGTATTAAGATACAGCTGGCTGTTTCTCAATCAAATTGAAAATGTTTGTGACATTCTGGTTCGCAATGTTTATGTAACGCTAAGTAATATCAAAATGTTTAATGAAACGGTAAAATTAGCGGAATTATATGAGCACAATAAGTATAAACAATGATACAATGCCAAAGTGATTGAAAATAGTGTATATATAACCTCGATATTAAAAAAAATAATTTTTTTTTTAATATTTTCTATTGCTTCTATTAATTTGGAACACTAATTTTTTCTCTAAAACAATTTTAATAAACAAAATACTTGTATTAGACTCATTAAATGTAAAGAAAAAATTAATTTTTGTGCTATACACACTCATAAATTTTAAGCAATTTGTTAAAAGAAAAAAAAATAATAATAAATACATAGGGTGTCCTTATAAAATTGGGACCCACTTTTCATCCTTGATTTTGGTATGCTTATTATAAAAATTCAATAAAAAATTTACAGGTAAGGAAGGGAAGGGTACAGTAAGTACAGTGTTTGAAAAAGACTAATTGAAACAAAGTTGTAAAATTAAAACGGTTTGACAATTTAACTTTTATGAGTATTTATCTTTTAATTTCCAATATTTTTATTAAATTAAATATTTTTTTCATATTTTTTTATAGTAGTATTGTCATTTCTATTAAATGTCAATTTATAAAATCAAAAATAACTATTACATGTATGAAAAAATTAATTTTACTAAATTTTATTTAATTAGATATAAGTAATTATTTTTAGTAATTACAAATAATCAATTCAATAATAGATCAGTGATTTATTAACATAATAACTGATATTTATGAAAGGTACATAATGCAAAAATATTATTTCATAACAAATTAATCAGTATTCAGCAATTGTTTTTTCAACTAATGATAACAAATCCAACGTGGAATTTCTAACTTCTTCTTTTAAAACGTTAAATTTTATTAAAAATATACCTAACATTTGAGAAGATACCAATTTGTTAATATTTTCTAACTGTAGTCTGTATTTTTCCAACATTTGTCGAAAATTTACGATACCTGCAAGTAAAACAATTAGGCAAGTTCAAGTGCATAAAATCGAATGTTAAATGATGTTATCGCCATATTTTAAAATTATTAAGGAAACACATAAAAGTAAAAATTATATTTTTATAAATTCTCTATTTTAGGCATTTATATTTTCACGATATTAACTTTTGTATCTTACGAATATGTTTGACAACCATACTAAATTGTCTAAAAAACGATTCTCTATCAAAAATTACATAATTTAATTCTGAATAAAAGTATTATTGCAATGGACCCTTCAATTACTAATCTTTTATTGAGTTACTGAAACGTAGACAAACTATTTCAAGAAATATTCAATTTGAAGGTATCTTAACTTAATATGTTAGTAACTCAATAATGTTATGAATATGCACATATACGAGCTGCACCCACCCGTACTACATAGCCAATCAATGTATTAAAATGCTAGTAAAACAATAATTACTAGTCCTACATTTTTTTATCAACTCTCATCAATCATTTTTGTAATGTTAATTGTATCATAAGTTATAAAATGTCAGTTAGCTCTGGTTCACTCTATATACAGGGCCGGATTTACCCAAAAAGCGCCCCTAGGCTAATAAGGAACAAACGCCCACTTCTTAGAACACAGATAGAATGAGAGCTGAGCTGATCAACCTTCCCAATTTACTTAAAAATTTGCATTTCCAATGTATAATGTATAGTTACTTTAAAAGTATTTAAAAGTCAACGTAAAAAAATGATGTATTGAAATTTTGTAGTTTAAATTATGATGATTGTAGTATTTTTTATATATATATATCGATTTGCGATAAGGCTTATTGTTAAGAGTCAGTTTGTGGTCAACTCTTCGCCGTGCTGGGCTGGAGCGTCAAGTACTACTTATTTATTTAGTTTTATGTCTATTTATTGTGTATTAGTGATCTACCGAATAAATCATAACCATTAAGGGAAATTATTGTTACTTTTTATTTTAATATATATTTATCTCCTACATGATAAAAAATCAATCGTGCATAAATTATAATTAATGAATAATAATAAAAAATAATAATTATATTTTTATTCTGTTAATAAACGGTTAATTTAGTAAATACAATTGTCAACTTATTAATGTAAACAACAAAAATGTGCACCGTTATAAAAAATAAGAAACATTAATTAATAATACGTTTGGCGTTTTCTTGATTTGGTTGCTCGACACAATTTATACGACCGCTGTCGCCGATTATTATTTTAGATAATGTATACCGTCGTCCCGTAACTACCCTGCCCAATCACATTATATAAATATATATATATTGTAGAATATATTTCGTGCTATTTTTATGATTTTACAACAGCGAGCAACTAATTTACCAAAATAACTACATTAATTCTAGTAGATGGAAAATTAAATTCGCAGAAAGGAATTATATCTAAAAAAAAATCAAGATTGAAGTGCTTGAGGATATATCCATGTTTACACTTGAGTCCGAAACGTCAGAACTCAACTGTAAACATGGATATATCCTCAAGCACTTCAAGCAACAAGACAATCCATGAAAGTTTTAACACATTCATAAAATAAATATAGTTTAAAAAACTAAAAAAACACGCTTTTAAAGCACATCGAACTAAAAAGTTAAAAATAATTTTTAAAATAATTATGAACAAAAAATACTAATATTATTGTGATAAAAGCGTCGGGCGCTCAATATATGAAAAATATGACACAAAGCACCCGCGCTTTTATCACAATAATATTAGTATTTTTTGTTCATAATTATTTTAAAAATTATTTTTAACTTTTTAGTTCGATGTGCTTTAAAAGCGTGTTTTTTTAGTTTTTTAAACTATATTTATTTTTTACTTTTTAGTTTCATGTTATGATAGTAGTTACTATCAATATCATGGTTGTTACGGGTAACGGGAAATCAGGGTTCGATTCCGGGGAGGGAGTCTGAGAAACGGCTACCACATCCAAGGAAAGCAGCAGGCGCGTAAATTACTCACTCCCGGAACGTGGAGGTAGTGACGAAAAATAACGATACGGAAATCATCCTCATAATCGGAATGAATACTTTCTATCTCTTAATTAGAATAAAGCGTGTTAATATATAAATTTTAATAGTAATTAGAATATATATATATATATATACAAGTAAAGCGACTTAAGTATGTAAACGTATCATACACTAGGTATAGCCGTGTTTTGTGGGCGGGCGGATC